AATGAGTTTATTAGCAAAGAAATAAAAAGGGTGAGAGGATACCTTTCCAATGATACCCCACAAGTAGAGCTGGAGAACTATTGATGGTCGTGACCATATTTTTATGTACATTTTTTAAGCTTAATTCGTTTTGTCATTTGAGGGGATTTTTTAAAAAACATCTTTAAGAAACTATTTTTATTCATGAAAAACTCCATTTTTGGAGGTACTGTCAAATCGGTCCAGGTCACGTAAAAATTAGTTTTTTGCTTAAATCTACCTCTGTTTATTTTTGACTCTGTCACATGAAAGCAAATGAACCGGTGAGGGCACGCTGGTTGCAGACGCACTTGACCAAAATAAGTCCGAACGCGTTGCATTGCGCGACAGCCTTCAAGTAAAAATAACGGTTTTCCACGTTGCGATCCATTTTTTTTTTTGACAACAGAATATTTTAGAGATAAAATTTTGCATATGTGGTTTTTTTCTGTATGAAAAAGTGGTGGAGAAACCTATTTTTACCAACAATTTTATAAACATTTACCCCATGGTACAATAATTACAGGTATTGTCTTATCAGAGAGCGCATATTCCGATCTGCCTTATTTAAAAAATATCATTGTTGCCTGCACCAAAACGTTTACTGCTAGGGAAAAGGGATATTTCCATACCCCATATACCATATATGAAGGGGTTAGAATCAAAAGATGTTTTAAGATAATTAACGTTAAAGTTGATTACTTATTGTAAATTCTGGGTAAGTTCATTTGAAAAGATTCTTGCCCAAATGAATGCATTAACTAATTGAAGAAATGTTTACTCTTTGTCACCAAATAAATACTATATTAAACTATACAAATATGGGTACAACTTATATTTTGAAAAAATGTCACTTAGACCCTTATGATTCTAACCCCTTCATATGTTGACGCATTTTTTAAACAAACCATCTTGTAGAGAACTTATTTAATTTGCAAAAGCCGGAAAAAACCATTTGCTTGTAAATAAATTCAAAATTTGTATGGCTCACTTAATTTCAAACGTTTTTTCTTTTGTTTTGAAAAATTATAAAAAATTAAATTGAGCGAAAACAAAAAGCAAAGCCAAATAAAAGTAAAAGAATCAACGAAAGCGTTTCTTAACCCAAAAAACTAGCAGCTCTCTCTCGTTCTTACGCTCTTCTTTCTTTGGCTCTCCTGCTAATTTCTGCTAGTAAAATTTTTACTAGCAGAAACTAGCAGCTGTCAAAATGGATAAACAAAAATTCGCGCCAAATATTTTCAGTAGTCAAATACACCGATCAGCTGATTACTTGCTAGTTTCTGCTAGTTTTGCGTTTCTTTACTTTTTCGTTATTTCGCTCTCTGTGAGCGTAATTCTTTCAATTTTCTCATTCTTCTTCTTCCTGATAATTATCTGCTAGAAAAGAAAAGAAACAAAGCCAACATTGAACTGTGTCAAAATGAAAATAAGGGAGCACGAATTTCGATGTGAAGCAAAAGGACAAAAAAAAAACACTTGTCGATATATGAGAAATTTTTTTTTGTAAAATCAAAGTTAAGACATTTGTTTGCATTGTCAATAGCTATGAACAAATACCATTGTACAAGGCGAATTTATATAAGGTGGTGTTACTAGCTCAGCTGATTTTGTGTATGTGTTTCGCCGCACGGCTTCTGATAACAAATTTAAAAATTTTGTTTGAATTTCTACACACACTCTTACAGATTTTGACAGTTTATGCCGCCAAAGCAAAAACAAAATACATGTAAATGTTTGTTTTTGTACTCCTGCTATCACCTGTAGGGCGTCTGAGATAGAACGATGTTGGAAATTTTTCTCAGATAGGGCGTTTTCGAATTGGCTGCCGAGATAAGTCGATCTTCCTCTCAGCCATCTAGATGCAGTGGTATAAATGTTCTAGATAAATATTCTACAACAATATTCGTTAGTTGCGAATTTCTTTAAAATGATGTGAAATGCTGAAGTAACTGTTTTCAAATTCCAGTAGGCTCATAGTGAGTAATCTGCCGACTTTTGAATAAAGCAGGATTTTCGAAGAAAATGAGAATATTATAGCCAACATAGACGGTGCGTCTGACTCGCGAGTCAACTGTGTACGTGTTGACTCGCCTTTCGACTACACGCAGTTAAGTCATCCAGAGTCATACAAGAGTCATGTCGGTGTAACTAACACACATTTATTTTTACTAACACATCCAAACCGTTCACGAGCCAGACGCACAGTGAATGCCGCATATTAAAGTAACGATATGTATGTAAGTATGATTTTATATACGTATGTTATGCACTTGAATCAAGAATGATCGAATTGGAAGAACTATATACATAGCTCATATTAAAGCAAATAAAATTTAATAAAAGCAATCTGAAATTTAATCCTGAGTATACAGTAATCATCAAATTTGATTTCCATGCTTTCGTCAAAGAATGATTGTTTTCCAGCATGAAGCACTTTTGGTAGATATCGACATATGTACATATGCACTTGAGTTGTAATATTATGTTACCGACCAAACCCAATCTTAGGACAAATTAGTTTTGCCTAGGCTAAACTCGATAAGGGGCCACAGTATTTTTGCGCAGAAAACCTTTCCGCGTAGGCTGCCTTCGGCCGCACTTTAAAAAAATTTGCCTCATCAGTACAACTCCAAGTACATAGTCCAAAATATTGTTGCGTCGAACTTATTTTCACATTAGACGGATATATTGAAAGGTAGAACTAGTTTGGCCGGTAACATAAGGTCCATTCTTTTGCAGCCGAGCTACAAAAGAAGAACACTCGCTTAAATGACGAAATACACGCAAAGCAACAACACAAACTTTATTATATTTTAAACAAGTATATATATTACGCAAATACCTCGCATAATTACTAATTTCTATTGTTTTTTGTGTCTAAATCACGTTGAACTAATCACATGTTTCTTTCCAGCTGCCAGGGGTTGCTTAAGTAGCTAAAACGAAATTTTACCCGAGTTGAGCGTTCTTTTGTCGCTCGCTTACAAAAAAATGCAGCATTATATCGTCGGCTTAGAGTGTAAACCTGCTAAATCCGTTTTTTGGCAAAATTGACCTTTTGATGCAGTTCCAAGGAGTAGGCGATTCCGCAGTTGGCAAGCAAAAAAAATACGTCAATATAAAAATATAATTGTCAAAAATTGTTTGATGAGTAAAGCAGCTAAGTACAATCAGTTCAAATTCAACTGCTAAATCCAACATATTGTGCTTCTGTCGCTCGATTATTGTTCAATCCTAGAGTATTTCTTTATACGTTTAAGCCAAGGTAATAGCCAGCGAATAAGGTTTAATTTTTTATATCTAAAGGAAATTATTGTTACATGTGGAACGAAACAGAAGGAAGATTAAATGCAGAAGAGTTTTCCAGCGTGTGGGTAGATTTAATAGAAAAAAATGTAGTACCAAATAATAGTTCCGGTGAACCAATTACAGTAATTTTTTATAGCGGCGAATGCACATATCAAAACCGAAACAGTATTATGGCTAATGCTTTGTTATCCACAGCTATAAATAACAATATCATTTTTGAGCAAAAGTTTCTTGAAGTAGGCCATACCCAAATGGAAGCTGATTGTATACATTCCACTATCGAACGAGCACTTAAGAAAAGAGATATCAATGTTCCTGCAGAATACATTGAAGTATGTAGATCAGCTAGAAAAAATCCAAAACCATATGACGTAACTTATCTTAGTTACACGTTCTTTAAAAGCTTTAACACAGTTCAATACTTTAATAGCATTCGTCCCGGTCGCGGCAAAGATGCTGCTAAAGTAACTGATATACGAGCCCTACGGTATACACCAAGTGGTGACATACATTTCAAACTAAGATTCTCCAACGAATGGGAAGTAATACCGCAAAGAAAATCCCCAGTAGCTGTTTCCTTGCCGTTTTCTCACCTTCCGAATTTATACGAGAGTAGGCGTACGATTGCTCGCAGAAAGTATGAGATCTCCAGTATTTCAAACGATTACTTCCTGAAGATTACCACGCCTACTATAACAATTTACCTCATGATTGAATAATATGTGGTCTTTGTACTATTAATTTGAGAGAGGAATACTTCACGTATAGTTACTAATATATGTTTTAAAACTGCCTATTTTTGTTGCAATAAACAGAAGAATAAATCTGTTGTATTTATATATATATATATAACTGTTTTTATCTATGGAATTAACTCGTAATCACTGGATTCTAATTCTGGATTAGGGCCATAGAACGTCGCGCGATTAACAAACTATATGTAGGATTTGCCCCTTAGACTAAGTGTTAAAGATATATTTAGTTTTTTGTCTCTACAGTAAAATATGTTTTTTGGTCGTTAGCACGTTTACACTCTAAGGCGACGATATAACTGCATCAATTTGTGTGGGTTATTACTAAATCCATTGTAATCAGATTTCTCGTAAAATCTACGAAAATGCTGCCCCTAAATCGGTATGGTAACGAGCGCAAAATGTACTTATATTTTATACGATTGCAGCAATTGCTATTCAGTGATAGCACTTACAATGCATCCAATAATAGACCCTTGTATTTGAAGGTATGTAATAGGTGAAAGTATATATCGTCACCTGAAATGCAAAAAGACGTGACAAACTTCATTGCTGAAATTCAAAAAGGCGTAACTAATAAAAAATTCAAAACTCAGTTTTCATTGATATGATGGATTTCATCGAATTACAACTCCCACATCATTTATTGAAAAAAATAAAATAAAAATCTTAGTCGCGACCATGGCGGAATTATACCAGGTGAAGTAATTAGAGCGAGAAGACGAGATTTTGACACTGGCTTATTTGAAAAATTGCCTTTAAAATTTTAGTAGTTATAAGGCAGCCGAATGTCAGAAAATAAAGCGAGTTTTTGGTCACGACTTTTTCTATTTCAGTTACGATGATGTTACGTATGTATTTTTCCATTTCAGGTGACTTATGTTTAGCAAATTATCTTTTGTATTATGAAACACTTACCGATTTGTTCCATTTCTGGTCAAGAATACTCTCTATACTTGGCATTATCGAGTTCCGCCCCACCATGAATTGTGGACGTAGGGTTTCCGCCAGCCCTGGTTTTTGTTCAATATACTTTTTTAAAACATAATATACACACTTGGCCGTGTACCGTCGCTCTACGAATATTAAGCATCGAATGCCGGTCGGATCTTTATTCTCGAAAAGATCGCTTAATAAACCAAGAAGTGTACGCATTTTAGGTGTAGCAAAATTCAATATAATATCAGTGGTGTGGCAAGCACTATCTGGATCTGAATCCTCTTCTTTTAACTCCATTATTAGCATATGTCGTATTTTTTCGCATACACTTATGGTGTAACGGTAAAGATTTCGCAATGCAATTGTTTCAGCCTGCCGTTTTTTTACTTCAAATTCGATTATCGGAGACATAATAGCAATTGCCGAAGCATATAAGCCAAACTCATTTGTTTGATATAAAAAATCATTTAGCAGATTTTTTAAAAAATTCTTTTTGTTGGGTTCGCGCAATGTCCCCAAATTTTTTGTTTGCTTTGCTGGTATTACTCCTAAATCCCATGCATCTACAGCAACAAAACATTCGGCAATGATACTTTTGATAGTGTCATGCAATTTAAAATTGTGCCCTTGACTTGAATACGTTACTAGTTTTTCTGTTGGTTTCGTCGAATACCTACATAAAAGCATATACATATATTCATATGTAATCGATAATATAAAATTAATATTCGAAAAGGCCAATGTAAAGAACTTACACCATCACGTTTCTATATTCTTCTATAGAACTAACTGTAACAATATTGCCACGAAACGTAGCCTCCAGATTCTCAAGTTCTTCGCGAATTTTAGCTAATTTGTTACCCTTCAGCAAAACGCCTGTCAAACCAATCACTCTTGGCAATTTAGATTTATCAGCGATATCACGAAAGTGACGCATAAACTCGTGCATTGGATGGCTTTTTGTTGCATGATGGCACTCATCGATTACCACCACACTTAAATCAGTAATTTTAATATAATTTTGCGAAACTATATCTAGGAAAATTTGTGCGGTTCCCACGAGAATCTGCGTATTGAATATGGTTTTAGTGCAATATTTAAAAAATATTTGCAGCTTACTTGATTTACTCTAATTTCCTCATCCCATTTTTTACGAGACCAACTATCGACGTCACGCTCTCCCACATAGAATCCGATTGCTAAATTGGTGCAACGTTTCAGTTCAATAGCCTGTTGGCGAGCTAATTCTACAGTGTTGCACATGAAAATTGCACGTTTTCCACCATTTTCAATTGTTCTAATTGTTTGATCAGAAATATATGTTTCTTAGTATAAAATAAGAACTATACATCGTCGTTTAAAGTACAAAACCGCGTATCGTGATTCTTCAAAACCGCGTAACTGACATTGGCTGCCAAAAATTGGATTTGCTCACACAAGCTCTTGGATCAATCCTTATCCATTCGTCCTGAAACATACTAGGCAGATATGCGATTACTTTATAAAAAAAGAGAACCCTTTTGAAATATAAGTGTTTTTACACTCTACAAAATTATTTCTACAACTTCACATACGCGGTTTTGCATTTTGTTGATATGCGGTTTTGCATTTTAAACGACGATATGCATATTCATATGTAAGTATAAACATATCCATATTTAAACACTCACTCTTGCATTTGATGGGAAAAACGCTTCAGTGCCATTATCGCCACGTAAGTTTTGCCGGCGCCGGTAGGTAGGTATATTATCGCATTCCTATGCATGACATAGTCCAGGAGCTCCAACTGATAACGACGAGGCTCCATTTCTGCCTTTGATATGGTTTTCTAGAAGAATTTCATCATTGAATCGGGTTTAGTTATAAATATACACAGTTCATCATTGATAATGCGACTTACACTTTCAGCAGGACTCGGGGTCATCTTATTTTCGAGTTTTGGTTTTTAAGAATTTTATTATTTTACTATTGAAGAATTATGTATTATGAATGAGCAGTCACTAAAAATGAATAAAACACTTGGATGGCAACTGATAGCCTACTCTGCGAGTGTGAGATCGAGCTGCTGATATACAAACATGAAATGATTACGTGGCCCCAGCGAGGACCAGTTCTTTGTTATGTTTTCGGGAGACGGGAAGCGCACAGTTCGCAAGAAATTGGGTGATTTCCCCTTTAAAGTTTCCAATTACTAGTAGGGTGCAAAAATATCGAAGATACTATCGATATATCGATGGTTTGCCTTTTAAAAAAATACTATCGATGTTTTAAGACTATCGATACTATCGGCTGTAATGCAAGACCAATAAGAATACTGTCTCTCTTGGCGGCACATAATAAATAATGAATAACAAGTCTGCACGTTACCGATGATTTTGTAACTTATTACCAAAAAATGTTACCAGTTCTTGTCACCGCGATTCTAGATACGTTGGTAATGCAGTTAAAATATTCAGCTATGTAGAATTGTGCAAACTCTGGCACGGGGGGCATCACGGGGCAATACTTTGTTACCAGCTTATGAGATGGAAACAAAAATTACCGGTTACAAGAGTACACAGAATGCGAAAAGGGTTTAAAAATTGACTGGAACTTTATTTACCGGTTACAAAGTTTTTATTACCAGCGCAGAATAGACCTGTAAATCGATGGGTCTTTGTAACTCTTACCAATGGGAGTGACGATTTGGTAGTTCTTATTACACGAAAAAGGGGGAATCGAAAAGCTAAGGGTCAAAACATAGTGGAGCGGTGAACAAAGCGAAGAGCTAGCATCGAGCAAAGCTTCAATTACAAACGTGTTGTACGCTTTGCTCTTCACTATACGCTTTCGCATTGAAACATATGCGTTTGAAATCGACGCTTTGCTCAATGCTCTTTGCTCGCCGTTCCACTATGTTCTTACCCTAATATTACGTTCAAATTGGCCCCATTTCACTTGTTAAATGAACAAGAGCTTTTTGGAAAACACAATCGTCCACATTGAACATTTGGAGTTAACTTTGACGGTTGTTTGATTACCAATAAAAATTCGAAAAAGAAATATTCAAAATCAAGTTTTTGTGTTTCAATTTGTTTTGTGCGAATGTCTGCTTCATGATATTAACGCATACGGATTACTTAGAGAGTTCAAAATGTTTAGTTCCTATGCACTATTTATCTCTGCGTACGATGAGACCTCAAGGGAAAAAACTATTTACCGCCTTTGCCTCATTTTTGGCGGGCAGACATGCATACAATTTTGATATTTTTTGATAGTTTTTAATTTTTAATAGTTTTCAGAATATAAATTTTTTGAACGTTGGCGTGTCAAATCAAAGCTTTTGGGTCTTTCTGATTGGCCGGAGCAGAAAGCTTTCCGATACAACTCTGCGCTGAACTGGTTTTCAAACGAGTCAAATGATTTAACTGGTCCAACAACAATTGCATGCGATTTAACTTGTTTATGAACATGTTTTGTTCATTTAACTGGTTTAAGCTACAGAGTGGAAGATTTGAACGCAAATGAATTTCATTTTGAAAGCCGTTAGGAGGAGGGGAAGAACAGAGCTTATCCTTTCATAGCAAATCGAATTTGAAACAACATACGCACCTCTTTTTAAAACGTTAGTAAAAACGAGTGCAATAATAAAATCATCTTTTTTATGTAACTTCACGTTTTATGTATGTATGTATGTATGTAAATGCTTCTATTAATTTTATATACAAAGAATAAATTGTATTCAGTGCATTTCCCAGTCTTATTTATAGATAATGAAAACAAAAACGCCTGTGCTTCCTCTTTGAAACCCTCGCGCAGTATCCGTTTTTTGAGCCAATATGTCGTATTGCAAGTATTACCGCTCTCGAAAACACAGAAATCGAGAAAACTCGTTTATGATAACTTTTACAATCATGCACAGTATATTTTACTTATTTTTTTTTTATAAAATTTTATTATTTAAACCCACGAAAATAACAATCGAAACGTTCACCGTCAACAAATTTACAACTTAGAAAAACGGAACTACGATCGAAATGTAGAATAGATATAATCGTAAATTTCGAAGATTGATCGAAAGGAAACGGAACACAGAATACCAAAGTTGCCAAACGGAGAAAATTTCGATTCAAGTCGAAATGCAGAATAGGGCTGAATAACGATTATTTGTTATTGAAAAAATAAAACTCATAAAATAACGATTATTCAATGATTTTTAAATAAAAATCCTCCATGATAACGATTATTTTCGGTTCTTCGGTAAAACTGTTTGGTTGGTTATTATTATACTTAGCATTATATCGACTTTGGCGTCTTATAACGGTTTTCGCTGGCAAAGAAGGTGGCCAGAAAGCACAGGGCGACTCATATCAGGCATAAACGTAGAAGAAAAAATTTCGGAGCAACATTTAACTTTGAATCGGGTTTCGATACGAGTACTTTTTTCGATACCTACTCAGTACTTGCCTCAAAAGTATCGATGCCAAATTACTTGGTATCGAACGAAAAGTATCGAGTATGTACTTGTATCGTTTCATTCCTAACTATCGATAGTTATCTAGCTCTAGGGTCTACACAAGGCGTTTTCAATAAGGTGGTATCGGTACGCCAATAACAAAATGTACATGTATTCTGTATTTGCTTTTGCAGCGCCGACTGTCAAAAATTTCATAACGAAGGATGTGAAAGAGAACAGAAAACAATGAACAATCAACTGCTCCAACCAATCAACAGCAGCCATTTGACATATGAAGCCGTGAGGCGAAGAAAAATAAAAGGGTGCTGCTATCACCTGTTAAATACGCCTTGGGTCTACATTTTTATACACATATACGGGGCCTTCATGAACCAATAATACAGACTGCATTTCTTTATTCATTCTGAACGTTTGGAATAAATTTTTTTGTTTACTTATTCTTTAGAACGTTCCTGATGATATGTTAACGTATATTCTGTTTATTCCGGCTGTGAAATGGGATTATCCGGAAAGCATAAAGAAACGCAGCCACAAGATCACCTAATCAAAGAAGCAAGAAAAGGGTATATTTCTGAGAGTTTTTGACATCTGCCTAGAAAAAAAAAAACAAACTAAGAAAACGATTATATTGGCATTTATTATAAAATATAACCGAACAAACTGATCAAAAGGTGTCCATAAAATATGGTTTTCGTGATAGAAAGTTTTTTACAACCGCATAGCAACCCACTTTCACGCCTTTAGGCAACCCAAACATACGCACATTCTAGTTTCAATCACACAGCACTTAATTTTACTGTAGAAAAACTAACCAGTTAGCGACAAGTTTCGGATCGATATCGCACTTGTTGGCGTAAAAATATTTCATATCATACGTCAACAAAACCGTAAGAGTTTCTCTGCATTATTGCCTCGAACCGACATATATACATCTTTCATTTGAATCAGCATTAAAAGCTTTACATTCGGGTTTTGAAAGGCGAGTCTCCCCTGAACCGTTTTCCCATATTTTTGGTCAATATGCGTTTTTATCCGAAACCTAAATGTTTCGGTACCGAGTATCGGAAGTACTGGATACTTTTTAAATCGGTACCGAGTATCGATCAATACTTAAAAGTATTGACTCAGCACATCACTAATACGGGAACTTATCTGATGAGTCAGCTGCTGCAAACTTGTTTATTTCAGTGACCTCAGTTATCATTTACGATATTCCAAGCAATAAAAGGGGTTGCCTTTCAAGTTAAATAGTAGAACTCCACAGCAGGCTTTCAGAGCGTTCCGTGCCCGAAAAACATGTTAAGAGTTCTGCTCTTAAGGTGTTCCCGGTTTGATCCGTTTTTGGGGGAATTTTAGATCTTAGATTTTACCATTCTATTTCAGTTTGGCTAACTAAATAGAAATAGCAAAAGGAGCCAAATTGCTATTCATCAACGTATGCTAACATATATTTCACCCACCATAAAGGCCCGTTTACATACAACTTTGGCGTTGCGTTGGCGTCGCTTCGACAGCTGACTATGAATACATGTTATGTGGTTATGTGGAGAACCAAAGATGGCCATTTTTCAACTTTTCGCGTGCGTCGTGCGTCACCTGTTCCAAATAATCAAAACTATGTGAAATAGGTTGGGGAGAGAGAGGATTTTTGAGAATAACTTTTGTGTGCCGTCACACTGGTGCAATTGCGAGAGAGAAATGCGAAAACGTGAGCAAGAATGGAAGAAGAAGAAAAAATGTTGCAAGGAAAACGTAAACAAGTTGCACAAGTGTGACGTCATGCAAACAACGATTCTTTCAAATTCGTTAAGAGAGGAATAGCGGTCCGAGATCGGCGCATCCTTTGTATTCTCTCAATCGTGCGTGCTTGCTACAATGAACGCTTAGCAGAGAATACTTTGGTCACTAAATTAACATACTAGGGGCAGAATAAATCAAAATTTTAAATCAATAATTGCATTAGAAACTATATTTCTCAACCGAACTTTTTGGAGAGGGCATGAACCGCCATTGACAAAAATGCAACCCCCGACCACCTAGGCCCCCTATGGTTCCCTACGGACCCCTCAGAAAAATGGCCAAAAATCGAAATTTTTACTTGCGTCCACAGTATTTTTGCGTAGAATTCCTTAGGGATTATAACCCTTACTACGTAGAATTCTCCTTTCTGTGTGACCTAACTGGGGCTACCGCCCCAGTGATGTAACCTTGGGAAGGGATGAGGTAACTAGAATTCCCTTTCTGAGTGGTAAGACTGGGGCTGCCGCCCCAGTGATGTCTATTTTGGTTACTGGGTGTTTTATAAAAATGCCTTGTATATAAAAATGTGTATATAAAAATGTATTATGCAAATGAATATTTAACATTTTTCAAGCGAATAAACGCAAATGAAAATCGTGATTTTTGACAATTTTTCTAAGGGGTCCCTAGGGAGCCATAGGGGACCTAGGTGGTCGGGGATTGCATTTTTGTCAATGGCGTTTCATTCCCTCTTCAAAAAGGTGGGTTAGAGGTGCCACGCCCACTTACATTTCGCCCAGCGCCCCTTTAACGAACGGCCATAAAGGAAAGCCAACCCCAGCTGTATGTGGACGGGCCTTAACGGTGAGTTTGGACATACAACTAAATACAACCGTGCGAAAAAATTATATCGTTTTTTTGCAACAGAAGAAATTTATTTACGATATTAATGTTGTATGGTAAAAAATTGAAAACAAACTATCATCATAACTGCATCATTGGCCACAATAAAAT